TTTTTTTTTCTCTTTTATTTTGATCAACAAACTAACATTTTGGCCCTAGTTGTGGGAAGTCTTTAATGTTCCTCCAAGGCAATTATTTATGGACTTTTATGTAGGAATGCATCGTCGTTTATACCAAGGTTTTTAAAACCAGATCAGACCTATCGGTTGAACTGGTCAGATCGATACCCGGTAATAAAAATGGTTCGGTTTACATAAAAAAACCATTTGATGTCAAAACCGATCAAAATTGGTCAAAACCAGTGAAACCGATGGAGCCGATAAAACCGAAAAAACCATCGATTCAATTTCTCATGCAATCTTCTTTCCATTTTTTCCAATTTCACCCTCATCATTCCTTTCTTATACCGATTTTAACCCTTAATTTTATGAAATTACAAAATTACCTGCCTCTCTCATCAGATTTCCCTTGTTATTTGGACTGATCGATTCACCGGTTCAACCGATTGAATCGATCAAATTGGGACCAAACCTGAAAATGGTTCAATGACCGGTTCGGTTTTAAAAACCTTGGTTTCTACTACAATTGTCTGATCATCGCGCATCTCATAATTTATTTAACTAGTGCTTTTCCATCGACTTGCAACTGAGTTCCATGCTTGGAAGTCGTAATGGTCACCAGGAATCCCTCTTTCTCACTTTGAGCAAAGTGAGTGGCATGCCTTTGCAGTCTTATCTGCCATGCAGCCGGAAAGGGAGATTTTGGAGACAACAATCTCTTTTTGGCACGCCTGGTAGGACCTACCTTGGATTTTCACAAATTTGTTGATCATATCTTTTGCTATTAGATTGTGCTACCATGACAAGTCTTTACTCTAGTGACTGCCAGAAGCTCTTCATGACTCCATCACATATTTCCTCTTATTTCAATCCACTCTATGGTGAGGAGGAGCTTTCAAGATCATGTACTGAAATCATAGCTGATTTTGTTGAGAAATTTAGAAGGCTTCATGAGGAATGGAGGAGGAATTTAGAGGAAGGTTGGAAAGAATGCAAATTAGAAGGAAATCTTCCAGAACTTAAAACTCCTCAACCCAAAAGTGAGGTTTTAATGGAGGATTCAAAGAAGTGTCATGTAGCCATTTCTCCAAGAACTCTGAAGCAATTTTGCCAATCACAAAACATGATAAAGATGCCAATTATAAATGAAGGTCAGACGACATTAGGGTCAGAGAGTAACCTCATGATCACACTTGGGGGGCATGAATCACAATTGCAGCATGCTGCCCAAAGCCAATGATGCCATGCAGCTTTGGAGGTGACTTCAGCAAGTATGCCTCCAGGTCATTCTAAGTCTACAAAGACTAATACTAGCAAGAGTCCTCTTACTCCTAGGAGGCATAAACCAACTCAGTTGTAAATATGTCAGCCATTCGTTAATCGAGGTCCATATGATGGCCAACAGTAAGCTGATGCTGCCACACAAAAGCCAACACTTTGGCCGACATCAGTACATAAGTCTGATAAGGTATCCACCTCATCCATTTCTACTTCTTTTGAGACGAACAAGCATGTTCCTTTTGCCTTACTTAAGAAGTGTTTGCGACGACCATATTTTTCGAGTGGTCAAAGCCCTTCCAAGTTCAACTATAGACAATGGTTGAAGGTGAAATATCCCTTTAAAGTCATTAGTCTAAAGAGGGGAATCATTTCCAATTTCAGGGGGCAACCTAGTTAGATTGAACAATAAATGTTGCAAGACCTTATTGTTAATGAAGTTCACAAAGCTACAACAAATGAGGCAGCAAGGCTTGTGCCGTTGTAGCTTGATGCCAATCCAAACATCTAACTCATGCCGTCACAGCAAAAGCATGTTTGTAAGCCTAGACCACCTCAATAGTTTGTAGACTCATTGCCAAAGCCACTCAGGTGACATGTAGGCCACCATGTTGTCCAACATGTTGTAAGCCATATTAAAAAAATAATGATTCTTTCCAAAGTGGCTTTCACAAAAAATTCCCAAATTTTCCTTGCAGCCACAAGGATAACATGGGAGGCAACATAAGAAACACCATGCCTTTGTATCTGCCAAGTCAAAGAAGGAAGAAGAAATCTAATGACCTCTATTGGACACCAAAGAAGGAACTTCAACACCAAACCCATGTCTTTGAATGGAGACATAGGGGCCATGATCAAGCACTCAAGTATGGAGGCATGGGTAGATGTTGCCTCTATAAACAAAGTTAATTTAAACATGGTTGCCATATAAACTTGGTGGCTTGCCTAGAGTTCTCTACCCAAAATCCTAGGACTTTTCGAAGGCGACTTCAAAAGAAATGAGCTAAAAAGTGTCAAAGGCATGTTGTTTCCAAGGTGCATGCTTCCCAAAGGCAACAACCTCCAGGGAGGCAAAAGTTTATTTAGGTGGAGAAGAAGAAACATAATGCAGCTTCTCAAGAGACAAATCAGAATTTAGTCAATGCAATCGTGTCTCCAAAAACGTCTGCCAAGCGTGTTCCTTTGAAGTCAAATGACTCAAAGGCAACTAAGGATCTTAATGTCAACAGCAAAACAATTAGCCTTGGTGAGTTTATTTTGAACTTCCAAGTTCCATTCCAAATCTCCCTTTTGTTTTCACAAGGAAGCAAGATGTAGCCTCTAGTAGCAAAGAGGTAGCAAAGAACAAAGCAAACATGTCCACCAAAGAAAACAAAGGGAGGGATCATAAAAAAGATGCTGCCACCTTTGTTCCAAGAGGAAGCATATTGCCGTCAGTTAAAAGCACGTCACTTAGGAGACATTCTGCCAACAATATGAAATATTTGCAAGCGCACAAGGCATTAGATGAAGGCACATACTGGCTATGGAACTTTGACAGTAGTTTACACCTCACAAAAATAAATGGCTTACCTTTTCAGCCATGTTGCCCTTTGATTTGTAAATCATGCAGTAAATCGAAGTGGAAATAATCTCTTTGCTTAAGTCAGGTTTGGGTGGAGATCAGCTTTAATTTAGTGTTTGTTTTTAATTTTCTACAATTAGTGTGAATAATCTTGCAATTGAACGGCTTTAAGGAAGGTTGTGAGATGGCATTGCTTTTAAGACACTATGCTTTTTGTGGAGGCGTGCTTGATTTATGTCTCCATGTGAATCAACAAGGGATTTCATGGAAGTGTTCTTTTTGGAGGTTATATTTTTTCTATTTTTGCAAAGACACTTTTAGTTGGCTTATTTCTTTATGAAGCCATTGTGTTTTTAGATGATATTCCATGCTATGCTAAAGAAAATAACAATCTCAAATTTCTACATTCTTGGAGACATCATGCTTCCTTACAATGGCCACATGGTGAGGAGTGCTAGGAACAAAATTTTCAACAACTTAATTCCACTTCGATGAAGCCGTGCAACCAAGCTTTGGGAGGCATTGTTTCCACCCATTTTTGCCAAAAAAGAAAAAAAAAAAGAAAAAAGAAAAAGAAAAAGAATGGTACCATGTGTCATCCATGTTGGCAGGTATTTCATTGGTTGAAAGTTATTAGTGTAAATCTTTCCAGATAATGTTCGGTGGTTATTTCCACAACTACAGCAAAGTTGTTGGCTTATTGCGAACTTGCAAGAGGATAATCGACAGCATCAACAGAACAATCAATTTGTTTTAGATTTCATGTTGCCATTGATTTTCAAGATGCTGCCACAGATTTCCAACCATGCTGCCAATGGGTGTTTATTGCTATAAATATGCAAAAAAGAAACGAAGTAAAAGAGACCAACCTCTCACACGATTAGCCCAATGTTATCTCCATTTTAGTTTTACAAGCAATATCTTAGTTTAGATCCAACTTTCTTAAACAGCTTTCCTAGTTAAGTCTTTAGCTTTACGCTGCCATTAGTTTTAGCTCTAGTTTTTGTTATTTCGTTGTGAACATCTCCATTTGATGTATTTATTTATATATTTTTTTTGCAATTCAATTTATTACATTTTTGCCCAAAATTCATCTTACTAATTTCTTTTATGTTTAGTTTTATGTTTCAGTTTTTATTTCATTTTCTATGTTTTTATGCTTTTGTAGTGACATCATGCTTTCTTTCCGTAATTTAGTTTTCCTGCCATGTATTCTCTTTTTTCTCTTTTCCTTTATTTTTCTCTTTTATTTGGATCAGCAAACTAACATTTTGGCCTTAGTTGTGGGAAGTCCCTAATGTTCTTTTAGGGCAATTATTTATGGATCTTTATACAGGAATGCACCTTCGTTTCTACGACAATCGTCTAATAAGGACACATCTCATAATTTATTTAACCGATGCTCTTCCATCGACTTGCAACTGAGTTCCATGCTTGGAAGTAGTGAAGGTCACCGAAAATCCCTCTTTCTCAATTTGAGTACAGTGAGTGACACGTCTTTGCAGTCTTATTTGTTACGAGGCCAAAAAGGGAGATTTTGGAGACAACAATACTATTTGTTTTCAAAGTGATTTTAGTATTTTAGAATTTGAAAGTACT